ATTCTTTTACCTTTTAATAATACTCTAATAAGAAAGCCTTTTTTATCTATATTATATATATTTTTAAACTATATATTATATTTCTTAAGCTTCTTAGTTATTAGTTTAAAGTAAAGTAAATATTTATATACTAAATTAGTTTACTTATATTAGAAGTCAATTCCAGTTATATAGTAGATAGTAAGCTAATTATTATATATCTTTAAAAATTAAGTTAGCTACTGTTTTTCTGATTTTTTTTTAGTAATTTTCTTAACAAAGTTTTATAGTATCTTAAGTATAGAGAGAAGATCTTTATTAGTTAAATTATTAATCTATTTTATAAGTATTTTAGTCTGCTTATTATTAAGAATTTATTAATTATTATATTACTCTGCTCAAGTATATTAAATACTATAATAATATCGAGATAGTATAGATCTACTTATACTATACTTTTTGGCAGTTTTTATATAATTTATCTTCTCTCCTGACTTTAGGCTTTTGATCTCAGTTATTACTATCTTAATTAAAGCTATATTGACAGAGTTATAATAATTTGAAAAGTATCGAAAAGTCGGTATATATCAAAAAATGGGGCGTCAGGTGGGGCCGGGCATCAGGTGATTAGGTACGGTAAGTGCCCCGCACTAGCACTACAACTGGAAAGAGAAGAGGAGATCGCTGCACAATCAATGGTAGCGAGAACAAGAGGGTCACTGCGGGTAGTCAGCTGAATCCATAAAGTAGGATATCACATCATCCGAGCAAAATACGCTCCATGATAGGACAGAATCAATGGGAACGAATCCTATTAGCCGCTATAGATCCGCCGACTTATGGCCCTGTCCATATGCCACTCTGCTGCCCCAGAGCTACCATCGTGAATATGCAGATCTCTGATAAATATCTATTTCCACCGCATCCAATTGGCTGAATTACTCTATTAACTTTATGCGCGGGTCTCCAAACACCGATATTTGCCTTCGCTTATTATTCGACGCAAGCCACAACAACCCCACACATCCACATCTCAGCCCTCAATTAGTCCAGAGTATGTTCAGCCCATTATCAAGATATATATTTTCTCAAATGTAATACCCTGTAACAATGACAGTGAAAATAAGTATTCCCAATATTAGTGTCTAGCGGTTTCATATTGACAATGGCAGCGGTGCAATAACTGTGAGTATATGGTATCTACACTAGTTCTGAGGTTGTGCTATACATGATCTCACCGGCTCAACAAGCAAAACAGGTCAGCGAGCAGATTTTTGATAGATTAGAAGTCTATTCCTATATATATTCTACTAACTATTCAGTGATGTAGTGCGTTCGATGTGTGCCCCGGTACGGAGCGCCCTCTTCTATATTCCTCTGCTTCCGTCATGCTTGTTCCTGTTGTCAAATACTCAGGAGCCTCATTTCGTCGACATAATATCCACCGAAACGAATACGCAGGTCAAACTTTAGCCAGACTTCATTGCCATTTTTGAGGTAAAAATCAAGGCGACCTTCCGAGCTGGATAGATTGAACCGGACACTGAGACCATCCTTTAGATTTCCTTCAATAGTCCCGAGATAGACTTGAGCTATAACCGGGGCTACTACTATTTCCAATGTATTCGGATCGACATATCCATCAACAAGCTAGACAAAAGGTATTAGCTGTATTCCAAGAGCGCAGAAGGTAGTAAGTACGTTAATAGGGCCATATGCCCAACCGATCCTCACATGTGGCTCCGGATATTCGATTTCCAACTCAGGGGTTTTCTGCTCAACAGTCCACTCCGTTCCACCCTCCGATGGAGAGGTCAGATCGACGTTCGCGCCTAATAATTTGGTCAAAACAATCAAGATGGGCGATGCCAATATATGTACATACCAACAATCTGGTAGGTTTCACTCATTTTGCTTCTTCAAGCTTGGATGCTCTGAGGATATTGGAAAGAAGATTGAAAACAGCTTCTACAACGGGGCGGGAAACAGCTTATATGTAAAGCAATTGCCCCCCTTCCCACACCTCTTTCTTATGCGCATTTTTTTCATACGTATTAGTATTGTAGATCGCTCCTGATTCTTTCATTATCTAATAATGTGGTAGTGAGCCCAGCTGAAAGTAGAGTACTTTTTTCAGTTAGCCACTATCCCAAGATGTTGCGATCGCAAATCATAATCTGCCCTTTCCACTTAACCAATTCTAATACTACCCCACTTAACCTACTATCTTACTATAAACGAGCCGCCACGTCACCAAACCACATTTTTTGAGTCCATTGGAGCCAATTAGAAACAATTTTACTGCATACGGTAGCCGTCTCTTAGGTCAGCAGACCCACCTGCCATTCGGCGTGTTGGTCTGCCTCACCTCAACGCAAATTCCGACTTTAACACAAAATTTGAAGCTATTCAGAGATTTTATCTACTACTACCATATCTAATTCTTATTCTGATATCGAGAAACAAATCTTAGAGGTCTATACAGGTACTTTAGATTAAAAAAAACCAAATATCTCTGTGTTAGTATATCTAACCCAGAAGGGGGGATGGGATGCAGGTGCATCCTATTTGGGGTGGGGCCCCCTTCGCGGGTGGGCAGGTTTAGGGTCACCCGTGTATCCTATTTAACAATCGATATATATTCCTATAAGCCACTGTAATCCGATCTACTTATAATTCGATTAATATACTAAGTCGATTCTATTATATCTCAGATTTATTTTTTGGCTGTATATTTGACTGTTTTCCTAAATTATATTATAATACAGATTGATTTAACTAGACTGGTGTTTGGCCAGGTTAGGTTAGGTTAATGGGGTCAGTTATATCTAACCGCTAGGTTATAACTAGGTTAATAGAATTTCTATATCTAACCACAGTTAAGTCAAAAACTAGATAATTAATTTAGATTAACTATATTTAATACCAAGACTATTAATTTTTATCTAGTATAGTAGACAGTAAATTAGATTAATTATAATTAATTTAGTATTAATCTAATTATTTTAATTGACTGTAAGAATACTCTATTAATAGTATTAAAAGATTCTATTTATTAATTATATATAAAAATAAAATATATTTTTAATCAAAAATTCTATTAAAATTATTATTTTCTATATGATTTTCGAATTGGAGTACTCCTAGTATAAATAGTCTTGTCGAGCACTATTGACTACCAAAAGGCCGGAACTAATTAATTCTCTACTGAATCTATTTAATAATTAGTTAAACAAGGTTAAGCAGACTATTAAATAGAATCCTAGATTAACAATCTACTTTGTAATAATATAGTATTAGATCGAGTCTAGAGTGGCATAACCTAGTCCAGAAGGGGCGGAAAAAGATAGTACATTCGGTTTGCGGTACAGCCCGTTTAGCAGGCAGGCCGGTTTAGGATCAATATACATTTATCTTAAATTTCCTATATAGACTTGTAATCCACTACTAAATTTAATTAAACTTAGATTTAGTAAGATTACTTAAATATATCTCTTATATTAACTATCTATTATATAGAGTATTAATTACTTGAGAAAATATAATATAGTCAGTATAAATTTTATTATAAAATTTAGTTAAGTTAACTACTACTGATAGAATTTCTAACTATTTATATTTACTGTCCCGACTATATATTTAGAATTTATAGTATTTATTTATTATTTACTATAGTACTCAGAAATAATTTCTATATATTATAAATTTAATAGAATTTTATTATAATTACTTAATTTTATTACTATTAAATTATTTTTAAAACTATAGACTATTCTATTTTTCAGAAACTTAATAGATTATTTATTATTATTTATAAAGTATACTAATATAGAGTATAGTCTAATAAGATTATCTATTATTTAACTGACTAGATTTATTAAAAATCTTATATAAAGATAGTTCAGATTTAGAAAATAATCTAGTAATAGAAAAGTATTATTCTATAAATAGACATAGACTGGTGTTTGGCCAGGTTAGGTTAGGTTAATGGGGTCAGTTATATCTAACTGCTAGATTATAGCTAGGTTAATAGAATTTTTATACCTAATCACAGTTAAGTTAAAAATTAGATAGTTAATTTAGATTAACTATATTTAGTGCCAAGGCTATCGATTCTTACTTAGTATAGTAGACAGTAAGCTAGATTAACTGTCTTAACTAACTATAAGAATACTTTATTAATAATATTAAAAGATTCTGTTTATTAATTATATATAGAAAGAAAATATATTTTTAATTAAAAATTCTATTAAAATTATTATTTTCTATAGTTAA